CATAAGAATTTAGCTAAGGTAAGAATGGTTGACCCCGAGAAGATAAGTAATTTAGAAAAAATAACTCATCACTACATTGCACTACATGCATTAACACACAACCACACAATCAAGCTGGTGGGACAGAGTCAAAATTCTTAGAAGTAACATAGGTAGGTGGAGAGAGAGAGATTGATTACCGAATCCTGGTTCATCCAGTATACACGCAACACATACAGAAGAAGTGACTCAGTGCAAATACCAGAGATATGGAAGATATTATTATCACCAGTCAGTCAGTCAAACCAAAGGAGGATAATAAATAATCTTAAAATTCCATTTCACTTCATTTACAATTTAACATTCTAAGAAGTTACTTATTTTGACTATGAAAACACTCGTCTTATTTCCCATCTGATTGTATTTGATTGATAACACTCATATTATTATTTCTGAATGTACTTTTTCTTATATTGATTTTTCTTCAAATATCTAGTCAGTTTCACACATGTATATAAATGAAGCAAGAAAGTTGTGTGAGTAACTTGATATGATTATGAGTGGCAATAAATTGTGCTCGAAACGTGGTCATCAGTTAATGTTACTGTATAACAACACTGTGTGATTTATTAAAATAAAATCTTATCCATAACGGAGTTATACTCTACTACCACAGTGCCCAAGTTTTGTACTTATATCAATAAGACAAAAAAGCTTGTGTATTGCCGCTTTCCTAGTGATCTCATTCTGTCGAACGGGTTGTCAGGTTGCGTTGTATAGAAAAAAGACATGAGTAAAGGTAACAGTCGACTTGTGTTTCTACGAGATTTATGACAAGACTCACTGAGTCATGAAGAAAAAACAAAAGGACGATTAAGCGAAGTAAACTTTTTTTTCATTTTTAACCATGAATTAATTCCAGCCAGACAACCATTAGAAACTGGCAAGGAGTATTGAACAGAACTGTTTTATCTTTGTCTGGGAATCTTCAGCAGTACTCATCTATGACCCCATCAGGTATTGCGACATACAACGTGAATTGATCGAAGTTATAATTCACAGGTTATTGGATCCCGTTCCAGTGACTGAATCGTCAATGGCTTCACCTTGTTACTAGAAGGTCCTAAGTCCGACCATTATTGGAGTCATGAAATCATTCTTCTGAGGAGTCCAAAACTAAGACGAAACACCTGTTCAGTACTCCCAGGTTTCCACTTGCTTCGAAGTGGTTTCTAAAGACGAGTAGAAATGACGCAATATTCAGTGACACAATCGAATCGCGCGTCTATTATTCAGTGTGGAGTAGGACGGTCTATTGTCCACTTGATAGGTGTAAGAAGGTGAGAGAAGAACGTAATAAATCTGATTAAAGGGATAATGTAAGCGGTAAGACTTCCGACCCATGCTCTGCTACGCTTAGTCAAGTTTAGGAGGCAATAGTAAGAACAATAAAAGAGGGAAGGTTGGGCACAAGATTAGCAGTCATCTAAGCCCGTAAAGCAAAACCGTTGCTACTGAAACTTCAATGACTGAAGCCCTATGTTCCACTTAGAACTGCAGGAAATGGAAATGGAGAAGTTTAAGATCAGAAGTGATTTTCACAAACATTTTCTACATACAGATTTATGAGTTGTGTTGACAAATAGCGGGGGTTTTTACTATACACAAATGTAGAAATAAAACACCCGTTATATTTTTCAGCCTTAACTTGCAGATAGTTTTGAAAGAGAAATCCAGTGGAGCTGTATGGATTGAGTCCACCAGATTAGTTCCTAAAGGAAAATAGGGCTTCAACCGCACGTCTCCATTGTGGTCGGTTCTCCGACAGCGTTTTCACCTGGCTCCACTTCTACACACATGCTTTTGTCTCCTCTTTACATCACCTCCTCCTCCACCCCCACCCTAGCACTGACGACCAACCAATTCGCCGCTTTCTATTCTGGTCCCACTCGAGCGATGGCCTGGCGTGTGATGTCATTCACTTGATGATGGTTTGTTTTCTCAGAGTATGACCAATCCACCTCCATTTCTTCCTGAATATTTGTTGCACGATTGGTTCCTTTTGGGTTGTTTCGCTGATTGCCAGAGATCCCTCACTATTGCTGATATTTTCTGGCCAGTCATCTCATCTTGAGTGAAATATTGAGCGCAGACAGCTGTTGGTGAAAGTGTTTAGTTTGTTCGAAGTGCCCTTCGTGACTAACTGGCCAAGTTTCTAATCCGTATACTTAGTACCACTGACTTCACATTGGAGTTGAAAATCTGGATCTTGATTTTCATGCTGAGTGCTGTTGATCTCCACACGGACTTGAGAGTAATGAAAGCTTGCCCTGCTTTTCCAATCCTGCCTTTGATATCCTCATCAGTTCCATCCAGCTGTAGTCGAAACGATGCTTCCCAGGTAGGTATGTAGGTTGGTAAATGCGGTTGCTTCTTCCAGACTTCTCACATTTATGCTGATTGTTGTCTGTTGTCATTTTTGCTGTTGCTGTTGGCCAGGAATCTTCATCACCTCTGTTTTCTCTATGTTCGCCTGAATTTCTATCTATCATGCTTCTGCTATCGCCAACTTGTTGCTTTTCTCTTGCATATCTTCCAGTTTCTATGAAATTAGACATATATCATCATTGGCGAAGTCCAGATCCTCCAAGTTTAAGTCAATTAGTGATTCGATTTCCTAGTATTTAGTGAACTCAGGCTGCATAGCTACATCGGAGTCCCCTATGAAAATTATCTACACAATAAGACTGGTCGGCGAAAGAGGTATTGTCAACAGAATTGATTAAGTAATTCCACTTAGTAGGGTGTATATGATTTATCAGCTCTTCATTTTGAGGGAAGTAATAGAGGTATAAAAGTGAGGGATTAGAGGTAAAAAAATAATTGTCAGCCATTTTTGTGGCGAAGAAAGCCAGACTGACGCCCAACATCAAACCTCCAACAACGTGCTGTATCATGTAGCTTCGCGAAAATATTCTACGCCTGCTGGATGAAATCGAAATTAAAGGGCTATGTGGGTGAACTACCAAGCGGCACCTGCTATTATAATTATTTCCTTGGGTTCACAGTGGAATATACGGCTTCAGAGGCACATATTCATTTCATCATGTTCTAGTTGGCTCTATGAATGCCCATTAGCTCTTTTCTTCTTCTCATTCGATCTCCTCCAAGCTAACCTCATCATTTCCAAATTGGGGGCTTAGAGTGTTATTGTACTTGAACGTCTCCAGCCTACGCGTATGTCCAATTTATCTCAGTTTCTTTCCAAATACTTGTTGGACCGTCGGTTTGTCGTTGGTTCGTTAACATAGATGGCTATGAGATCTTCAGTAGGGAGTGGAGACGGGTATTGGTGAAAGTTTGCGGTCTGTTGGGGATGCTTTCAGTGACACACTAAGTTTCTAAAACAGAAGAAGCAATGACTCCACATTAGTATTGAAGATCCGGCTTTGAGTGCAATAGCGTGAACTGATTGTCATATATCTTTATGAATCTCATTCGATAGCTGGATATATGACAATGCCATGTGTCAGGTAATCCACAACGGAAAACTTTACGAGGTATTGGAAGTGAATACAGGGGTAAGACAAGGTTATCTATCACCACCGATGATATTCCTAATTGTTCTAGAATGGATTATGCATCAGACTGTGAGGAACGAGAAGGCAAGAATACAGAGGACTGACAGGACAATTCTAGAATTTCTGGATTGAGCGGGTGACCCACGTTTAACGTCACACGAAACGGAGGACTTGTAAGCGAAAACAAACAAACTGGCAGAAGCAGCAGCCAACGAAGACAGAAATTCAGGTTAACACAGAAAAGACGGGGGTGATGAAGATACCCAGGCACCGATAAGAAGCACCAACACCAATCATTATCAACGGGAAGAATTTATAAGAGGTTACTCCCTTCACTCATCTAGCTATGCAACATCATTTCGAATACAGGTGGAACGGACAAAGATGTCAAAACCAGCCAGTCAGAAGTGGAATGGTATGGCAGAACTTCATCACTCAGAAATCAGTTTGGGAATCTTCTGCACACAGTCAGCAGAAAAAAACAAGATTCTAATATACAGCACAAATGTTAAGTCAGTCAATGATTCTATGTGAGGGCCAGAAACTTGCAGTGCGCGTGGGTCACGAAAAGCATTTCCAACAGGCTGATGCAGATTTTCATCAACGACTGCCCCCTTCACTGGCTGGTTCCATACTGAAGATCAAATTGTCAACTAGCCGGACAGAAATAATGAGCAACAAGAAACTCCTCAGTGAAACAAACCATCCAAGAATCGATTGCTCAACAAGTGTGTAGAAGAAAATGAAGATGGAATGGGCATACGCTGAGGAGACCATTGGACGACGTTGCACGCAATGCAGGTCATCGCTCGAGTGGAATCCGAATGGGAAACAATGAGTTGTGCGTGGGTCTGAGAGTGACATGGAAGAGACCGTGGGGCCAGAAGGAGGAGATGAGAGACTATGGGCAGATGTGAGGCCAACTAAAGATGACCACAGAGAATAGGTCGAAGTGGAGATGTTTAGTTGAAGCCGCATGTCCTACTTGGAACCCAAGGGAACAATAATAATAGTATATAATATAGGGCGTCGAAGAGGGAGAGAGAGAGCTAAATCGTGCTGTTGGCAGATAAATGTTAAATTACATTGAGGTATTTTTTTATTCTTGTTTCACTGTATTTCTCCCCTCTTCCATTTATGTGGGTTTTCATGATATGCGATCATTTGAACCTAATGTCCATGCTAACACATAACATTATTTCATAATCGTAATAAACTCAGTCAGAAAGGTAACAAAATAAACTGGTAGCGACAAACACAACAATGAGAATTACTCTAATTCTGTTGGAAAAATGCATCTGACATATGATTGGCTGATTTATTTGAGTATATATATATATATATATATATATATATATGTCTTGCCTATCAGTAGCACTACAAATGTTCAATGTTGAATTCGTAAATCTGTTGCCATTAATCATTTAAACAAATAATTAACACACACGTACACACACACTCACACTTCATTGTAATTATTTTAAAACAATAAAATACAAGGAGAATTTGCGTCAACTTAAAAAAGGAATTACTTAATTTCCATTCAAAAATGAAAGAAGCCTTAAATCGGATGCATTGTCATAGAAAAGCATGGAAATGGTAAGTTATTTCTAATATGCCTTTGTTTTCGTGGTCAAGTTCACTTATAATAGTTTGAAAAAAATTTGGGCATTGGGTATATGAATTTAATTGGTGGATGGTAGCTAGCAGTGGAATCTAGAATGGGCACTTTGACCTATTTGGGACTCGTCATCTGGATGTACATGCATTCCCCAGTGTGTGATGATGTTCCCATTGAGGCTCGAACCTAGTGCCGACATGTCAACCTGAGACAGAGCACTTCGGTGCAAGCAATCGACGAGAAAATCTAAAATTCAAGTGGATATATGATATTCATTATAATAAAGGTTTTTTTGTATTTCCCAATGAATGAAAAACAAAACAATGTTGTTGTTTTTAATGATGTTTCGCTATTTAATGCTGCTGCTAACAGCTTCATCACAGTAGTGATACTAAACCAAAATTTACAAAATCCTAGCTCATATATGTGCGTCGGTGGTATAGCGGTTAGGACGCTCGCCGACCATGCACATGGTCCGGGGTTCGATCCCCGGCCGACGCACTCCTTTACCTCGTTGAGCCAGAAATAATAGTGGTGAAGAGGAAAGGTTGGGCATGAGGCTAGCAACCCCATCCTGTAAAATAAACACTGCTACAGAAACTTCAAGCCATTAGCTTGAAGCCCTATGTTCCACTGGGGAACGTGAAGGAAAAAAAAAAGCTCATATATGACAACTTAATCATCGTTCATCGGTATGGGGTCATTTTTGGCGTTGTCAAGTTGGCCAATTGGTAAAGATAACAAAATCAGGTGTAGATTTTTTGATTTGATAAGGCTATAAAATTATAAGGCAGCCTGTGTTTACGTAATGAAATCGCTTATCACATCCGTGTTGATTTTGTCATTTCATGGGGCGGGAGGTTTTGCAACCAGGTCAATTGGCCAATTTGACAAAGCAAAAATGCCTCCATGCTGAGGAACGATGATTTCGTAAATTCTGGTTTAATAATACTACTTTGATGAGGCTATTAGCAGCAGCATTAAATAGCGAAACGTCAGTAAAAACAACAATATCGTTTTGTTTTTCATTCATTCATTGGGAAATACAAAAAACCTTTATAATTTACATTTATGTTGATGTATATAAAAGAGAATTGGTTTTCGAGGATTACTGATCTGCTAAAATATTTGGTGTGTGTGAAAAGAGAGGTCAGTAGATAACTGTATTATCCTAGTGTACATACGTCAAAAAGCGTCAAGCGTGGTCAAACCTGGTGACAATGAGACAATAAATTTTGACCCAGTGGTCAAATATGGACTGCCTCGTGTTTCTATGGCTTTAACCTCAACCCCTACCCCTGATATAGTGTAAATTAGCTTGTCTCTTGATTCTATGAGTAGGGTTCAACTGGCCACGATGTTATTCAACTTAATACTTATCATTTTACTCAACTCTTGTCTTTATTACGTAACTCCCTTGCCATTGAATGTATACAGTGATTTTTGTTTTATCTTGAACCCTCTGGGTAAAATCTATATAAGTGTAATTTTCTGAGCGCTGTTCATCATGTCTGGAGCCTCCCGTCAATTGATATCATGCTAGAAATTGTTGTCTACATAAACATAATCAATTTCTTTAGACTGTACACAGCTGATAAGAAGCCAACGAAATAAGCAATGATGGTACCCCATATTATTCTGCACAAATTGCTGTTGTTCTTGCTTATTATAATAAATCAGTTTATACTTTACAGTCCTACAGGAGATAGATCTTGAACTTGAATACCTGGGTGACGTGGGTTTCAGTCTCGGCGGGAGGGGGCATCGCTGTCTTCGATATTGCAGACACGGTGTGCTGAAAGTGCCACGAAGCACGAAACCTAGTTTGTTGAGATTTTTGTCGATTTCATCCAACAGTTTGACATCCATTCAACCTCTAGTTTCTGCAGTATCTTTCCAGCTAACGTAGCAGATGTGTGATATTAGTTAGAAAGTGCCAAGATCATTATTATTATTATTATTAGAAGTAGTGATAACATTCGCTAGTGGTCATGCCATATCATGGACCATTTGATCAGGTCCCAGTGGCTTAATGGTCTACGAGCTAGCTGGATTTGTAACCAGAAGGTCCTGGGTCCGGTGGGTGTGTACTGCCGAAGAGTACTAAACTAATGGGACGAGACAGCTGTCCAGTACTCCCTGCTGGTTTCCAAGGGTTCTCTAACCGATGTCATTTCATGATGAAATGATGCATTTTCTTATGAATATAATGAAAAATGACTTTAGATATGATGGAGAAGATTTGTAGCTCAGGTGGATGATTTTAATATAATCGTGTTCTCTGAGCTGAATGGTTTATTCGCGAAGCTTTCACTGTCCCACTAGGTAAAATCTTCAGCGCATACTTCAATCGGAAGTGAGCTTTTCAGGCCCAACGGTAAAAGAAAATAGAACCAACATCACCAAAAAGTAAATTGTAACGACTGCGAAAAACACTAGCATCGGTCAGCCTGGATGACGTCCTCTTCGTCTTCGTATCCATGAACATAAACTAGCCGTCAAAAGACATGACATCCACTCCCTCACTCATATCTCTGCATACAGACAACCATGGACATCAGTTGGACAGGGACAATGTTCAAATATGAGATTGAGGAAACACGAAGAATGCTAGAGAATTTTAGGAAGCCAGCCTGGTATTCCAGTGAATCGTCAATCAATAAACACATCATGATAGACAAAACTTATCAATCCATAATAGGAAAGTTTCATGAAAAAGGGGTAATACTTCAGGTCAAGGAAACAATCAACATCAGTACGAGTAGCCTAGAGGATGTGAAAACATACAAAACCAACCAGCCACGACGTTCAAGGTCAGGTCACCAGGAGAGGTGACTGATAAACTAGTGGAGAAATCTAAAAGCTCACTTCAGTTCAAATTGAAGTATGTGCTGAAGATGCTGCCTAGTAGGGGGGCGATGAAAGCTTCGCAAATAAACCATCCAGCCACCTCAGAGAACACAACAACATCAGAAAGTGACTAGTTAATATGAACTTCATTCATTTCTCTTCCTCAAATATCTCTTATCAGTTTAATTCTTCTTTCATGTCGATAACTGACAGGTGATACCATTCTGTCCTGTATGCAGTTCACTTTCTTGCTACTACCTCATTTCTACCAAGTAAGGAATATTAGTCATTATTATTATCATTATTAATAATAACAGTAACAAAACAATAGGATAATTAATGAGAAACTATTAAGGAGAATGACACAATTGAATTCACAACATAAAGTATCCATGCTTAATTGTGAGAGTAAGTGAAGGAAAAGGGGAAAAGTAAACTGTTTTTTCCTTTAATTAGTTAGTTAGTTAGATATTTTGACTTTTTGTTTGACATATTCTCCGTCCATCCATCCTCTTTTACCCTTCACTCACGCTCTCCCTCTGTCTCTATCTTATTTCAGGATATTCCACTTGTTCGTCTTTACGATTTGTATCATTTTACTGGTCTATCGAACATCGGAATGGTTACAAGCTTATCATTTGTTATTAAACGATCATAAAGTTAATCGACTGAGTGATTATTTTTTACACCACTCAAATTTCAATGAAGTCAATATGATCAGTGATCACACTACTCCTACTACTGATATCAATAGTAGTAGTAGTAGTAGTAATAATAATAATAACCATAATAACAAGAACACTATTAATCAGCACATGTATATTGGAAAAACAAACAGTGATGTAAAAAAGGATAAACAAAACGCTACAATTATTCTATGTAACATTAATCCAATAAGGTGAGTGTTATTCAACTAAAAAAAATTGTACAATGTTTCATTTTGTTCTGTGTACCTGTCAACTTGTCTTCTGTGTTTGTAGTATTCAATTATCACTCGGTTTACTTGTATGTATTGAAGGGAATGTTCTAAATTACGACAGTATTCTTTTTTTGGGGGGGGGTCATCCTACTTCAAAAGAAAATCAGCGACCATTTTCAGAGGTGTGTGGATCTATAGATTATTGATCAATAAACTTCTAGTGGACCTATCTACCTATAGATATGGTAGGTATCCGTTCCATTAGGTCTGGCTCAGTGGTATGAAAGGTCGTCTTGTAGTCTGAAGGTGTTGATTTAGATCCCTGCTGAAGCGCCAGCCAGTTTCAAACGATTCTCTAAATAAGGTTAATTAGAATCACTGAAGTCGCTACAAACTAACGCTTGAAAATTAATCTAGTGCTCAGTAATGTGATTGACAAGCGAATGAAGTTGTCTGGGGTTCAGTGAGAAGTCCTGATCAGTGCCGTCTACAAAGTCGTGTGAAAGCAAAGATATTCACCGACGATATTGACTGGTAGTTCATGGAAATTATGCCTGATTGGGTCATTGAATGGTCAATGGACTTGTCCCGTAACTTGATGACCTTAGTTTTGAGCACTGGTGGGTTTGCGGATGAGTACTACTGAAGAGTCCCAAACTACGACGAAACGGCTTCAGAGAACTCCTTGGCAGGCTTTCATTGTCTCTCTAAATAAAATCAATTTGTGCTCAAAATTCATAGCAGTACAAGGTACTCAGAAAGTATATTAAAATTAATTAAAATGATGAAATATTAGAGTCACGGAATATATACATTTGATCATAGGAATTATTAAGACAGTTGCAGGAAATTTTCTTTTCGACGAAATCATCAACTAGGTAGCTGTACATTCGTGTATTTATAATAAATGAGTAGGGAAATTGCAGAATAATTTCTGGTCAAGGGTCAAATTAATAGAATTACAATTAGGAATTAAAATGCCATAATAAACAGGCGGAGGGGGACGGATAAAACTCAAACAAAGTAGTATCATAATTACTGAGAAGATTGACATATTGTGCAATTAGGGGTGAGAAATGTAGAAATTACAACAATAGACGAGATGGTTGGATAAAAAATCTAGTTGGATCATAACTAATGTGACGAATAATTGTTTATGCAATCAGGAATTAAATATGTAGAAATAATAAAATGACAAAATAGACAGGAAGTTCGGATATGAAAATATGGTAGTGTAAATAGTGGAGAGATTAAGCAAAACTTAAAATAACATGAATAAACAGGAAGTTTGGATAAGAAAGGCAAAGGGATGGGCATTACTAAAAGAATTACCTGTTTATGATGGCCATGGCAGCGACAGGGGCTGGATGTATTTCTTTTTGATACAAAGCGTTGTTTTGACCTTTTGGATAGCTAGTGCCTCAGCTATACCCAGATGTCTTAATTTCACTCCCTTTGATAGGTTTGATTGAATTTTGTATACTACTTTGAATGATTTTTCGAAAGGTGCTGAATGTCATGGGTTGACCGGATGTTCTGTCACTGAACCGTATACACGATTTCGTTCTCCTTTTACTAGCCAGGCTGGCTAGTGTTCACGAGCACATGGTACGGCAGATGTACTCAGCTCCGCAAGAGTAAGTTAATTGGTAAATGCACATTGAATTGGCCCAATGCGATAGCTTGTCTTTAGCGTTCTGGTTGAACAGTTTCTTGCAAGAAAACATTAGTCGTAGGCTCACGGCGAAGTATGTCTTCCTCAGAGATTTGAAGAGGCGTTTATGAAGGATTTCTGCTTCAATGTCACTTTTGAATTCTAGATTAAGTAGAAGTATCTTCTTCTTCGGGATGGATTGAACTTGTTCGGAAGTCTTCCTTGATTTCGGGTTCTTGTCTATGAACCTAGGAGGAAAACCGTTTTCTATCAGGGTTCTTTGGAGATTACTCAGTTCTTCACCAATCACCTTCTCGCAGCATATCTTCTGAATCCTCGAGGAAAGAGCGTATGTCAGGTTCCTCTAAATATAGTTAATTTTTGGTCAAAAGTGAAATCACTCTAGCTGCTACAAACTAACACTTGATGATTAATTTAGTACTCAGTAATGTTACTTACAAGAGTTTGAAGTTGCCAGGAGTTTTATTGAGAAGTCCTGATCAATGCCGTGTGAGGAAAGATACTCACCGACGATACTGACTGTCAGCTGACGGAAATTATGTTTGATGAGTCATTGAACTCCGTTAAAAGTAAGTGAATGGTCAATGGACTTGCCACGTAACTTGATGACCTTAGGTTCGAGTACTGGTGGGTTCGTGGGTGGGTACTACTGGAGAGTTCCAAGCTAGAACGAAACGGCTGTACAGAACTCCTTGGTTGGTTTTTGATGTTTTTTGAAATGAAATCAATTCGTGATCAAAATTTATGGTAATATAAGATACTCGGAAAGTATATTAAAATTACTTAAATAAATAATAATAATTACTTAAATAAATAATGTACAGTTACTCAAGGGCAAAACCCGGTTCACTTGGCACAAATTGGGTATGAAAAATTCACAGGTTCATGCATCGTATATTTCGATGATTTTTCTCAATTCCGATGGAGGTTCATCAGTCTGGTCACTGTTTCTTCTTTGAAATGAGGAACTGAATTTCTCGTAAGTTTCTAAAAGGTATGACCAGTTGTTAGAAATGGCAACCAGGCAGCCACTGGGGGAAAAGAGAACATGATGTGTGAGCGAACAGGTATGTATTGTATTTTCGCAAATTGTGCAGATGAAACAAATAAAGGTTGGCGTCAACACAAGGGATAAACATGATGTTGTGATAGTATAAATGAATGTCATTATTAAGTCTTTACAAGGAAACCAAACAAAATCATGTTCCCACTCTCCATAAACCATAATAAAAATAATATGAATGTAGCTTGAGGGTATGTAGTACGATGTTTTAACTCATACGTAGTCTAACGTAAATTTAAGATGAGCGTAAGACAAGCC